CCGTAGATCGACTCCTCGAGCTTGGAACCAGGGCCGGCCGACCCGCTTCCCTGTAGTAATTTCGCGTCCTCGTGGATCGTTGGTATCGCCACTTTCTCCTCCCTCTCCGCCTCCGCATCTTTGCCGACCTCGTCTCGTACGGTTTCTTTTCCGCTCGAGTTGTTGTTGGACGGATCAACGGCCTCGTTTCCAATCGATTCCGAGTTCCTAGATCCTATTTTGTTCGGGATCGTTTCGTTCCTCGCCGATATCGTGGCATCATCGATAGTCTCGGTGGATAGTTTCTCCGAGCTGAACGGGAGATCTTCCGTCGTGTTTGCGGCGATCGTGGTGAAGAGCAGCAGGAGAACACCTGAAACGTACGCGAAATGATATATAATATTTGGGAAATATTTTTAAACAAAGAGGAGGGGGAAAAAAATTGAGCGGAGATAAGTGGAGGCGATTCGAAATATCTTTTAAGTTGCCATCTTTTTTACTTTCGATAGATGCGATATCAGAATATTTTCTTCTGTTGGTATTCCATTTTTCCAACATTCCATATTCGCCTTATCGAACAGGATTGCGTAAATGAAAAATCATGTAATGCATTTGCATGCTGCGCGTACAACTGTAATTACATTCGCGTTTATAGGTTACCGTACCCGGATTAAACGGGATAAAGAGGAATTAGAATAAAACGATAACGAATCGAACGAGACTGGAAGGGGAGGATAAGGATTTTATGTACGTAAACATTTTCACGTATATTTTTTAATATATTTTCCAGCGATTAATAAGCGTCGGTATTTCTGAACAAAACCCTCTTGTCCTTCTATTAAATAATTTTCGCGAGTTATTTCAAGAAAAGCACGCATTATATACTTTCTCATCATCAATTTTACGAACATCTTTACAAATATCGATCTCATCTTATATATATTTACGCTTATTTATATTATTTTCAATAACGATTTATTGACTCCTCCCTCTCCTTATTGTATTCGTTTCGAGATGAAGTGAAAAAAAAAAAGAATTTCCATAAATAGCAAGCAACAAGTCGACTCCCGTTTCGATCGTTTCATAAATCTCTGAATGAACGCCTAACCCTTCTCGACAACGCAAACCGCTACATTATTCGGAAAACCCGTGACGAGTCGCTGATTGTTCGATCGTTAAACCGTGAACAGTGTGGCCGAGGATCGCGATACGAGGGGCCACGTGCGAACACCCGACCGGGAGGAACGGATATATTGACAACGGTGACTGGTTTCTCACAGCCGGGATGAAATAAAAACGTCGGCGTGCCGTGGTCGATCCTTTTAATGGGTCTAGAAACCGGTTGGTCGGGAATTACTCAGCCAGGAATCGAGAACCGATTTATGGATTCCGTCGTGTCGCAGTTGCAGTACCTCGACGCGTACCGCGTTGCG